AACCTTATCTTTATAGCGAAAAATATCACGAAATTCTTCAGACTAATACAATTTCCACTGACGATTTACTCAATTATGTTTACCTTCTCAGTATGACTCGAAGAACGACCTTTATTTTATTCGTTGCACTTCAAAAAAAGGTAATCTCGGATTTTTTATTGGCGGAAAGCTGTTTGAAATCGAACCTGCAAATTATATCATTCAGGTAGGTACGTTTCGTTCAAGCCTTCTGCAAAAAATGATTTTCTCATTCATCTTGATTGCGCCTCGAATGAAAGAAAACAGTAATTGAGCAGTATTTACACCAAATCTTTTTTGGTTTTTTTTCTTGAAGAAACTACTGACATGATCTTTTAAGATCGCTAGTAACACATGCGTTCTCAGCCTTTTTGGATTCAGCTTTGGCGGTTATGGTCCGTCCTGGATTCTTGGCAATCCCTTTATTCGTCAATTCTGCAATATACACTACATAAGTGAACGACAAATTGGGTTTGCTAGGTCATTCCAACAAGGGAGTCACGAGACTAGCAGTGGAACTTCCACCGATTGTGTAACAGGTAAAATACAAAGTAGCCTTTGGACTAAATTTACGTATTCTTTTGACACTGACGACAATTCTGCTTTTAATAAAGAATAAGTAATTGCAGTAAACAATGGCAAACAGCAAAAAAAAAGTTATTTTTCAGAACTGAAAAAAGAATTGAATGGTTCTCGAAGAAACGCTTTGTCGTTGACTACTTTAATGTATAGTAATACTTACTTGTTGGCTTTTCTGACGGGAATGACTTGGCAATTGTAATACTACTTCAGCACTGCATTCTGTAGGCAAAATGAATGTCTCATAAAATTTTTTTGTACCAGCATCTTTAAGGCAGCAAATTTCAAACACTAAAGAATTCACAAACGAAGAACTTCAAAAACATTCTGACGCGTTTTTGCAACACAATGAGCCATTCCATGCTAAGTAACACACGTTTTTTCTTTCATACCTGACATTTTTGTTTAAACCTTGTTGATTAGTACAACCTAGGCCAGCGTACAGAAAGCCGAAAAAAAAGCCTAGAAAAGGTTTCAGAAAAAATTTCCGGTCAAGTTACCCTCCTCAAAGTTGAAAAAATTGTCACGCCCTCACCTGACATTTAAATACTACTTGTTCTTAATAGAGTTTGAAACTTTATTGCTTATTAGATTTATAATGTTCCAGACTTTCAAACGAATATTTGCTTGTTCTGT